TATTTATATTTCAATTCCTTGTTAGGCAATTTTTGGATTTTCTATCGTTACCAATTCAAAGATTATTATTTTTGGCAAAAACAAAAAACACAGAAGCAAAAGTTTAGTGGTTGTGCCTCTTTTCTGACACTCTCTCTTCTAACCAAAATAGTAGTCCTAACCTTTCATTGACATTTCTCCTGTGCCTGATATACCTTTTTCCTCCTTCTACGTTCATTGATGGCTCATTATGCATTTAATGCTCTTGATAGTATTCTTCTTTTATGAATAATGTTTATTTTTTCCAAATTATATGTAAAAACAATTTTTAACATTCTTTTTTTTTTTAAATTTTGAGTTGCAAATTCTCTGTCTCCTTCTCTTGCCCCACATCCCTGAGACAGTAAGCAATGTGATATAGGTTATACATGTGCAATCACGCAAAACATATTTCCACATTAGTCTTATTGTGAAAGAAAAGACAGACTAAAAAAAATATGAAAAAATATGAAAAAATAAAGAAAGTGAAAAAAGTATGCTTTGATCTCCATTCAAAGAATACCAGTTCTTTCTCTGGAAATGGATGGCATTTTTCATCATGAGTCCTTTGGAATTTTCTTGACACTATTCTTATCAGACCAGTCCACTCTAGATTATTTTTTTTATCCTCAGTTACTTTGTGTTTGCTTCCTTCTTTTAAACACATATTTTAAAACTACAAATTGGTCAGTGAGTTCCTTGTAATATGCACATTTGTCTCTCTTTACAATTCCTATGTTTCTATCATAAGCATTCTTTCTTGAGACAACTCCATTCAGCTTGAGCTGACTTCCTCTGTGGAATTTTAGGCCATAAAATGCTACGTATCCTTTACCTTAACCCACTCTCCCCAAATGTGGAGGATACTTAAGGCTATATCAGCTTCCTTTCCCCAATATGTAACATGAACTCTTAAGATGTCATGACATTTCCTCCCCAGTTTCCCAACATTCTTCAGCAAATAGTTCTTATTTGTTACAATCAGTTCTAGAATTCCCTTTGTTGCTTATTCTACCTTGAAGAATATAATAATTTTCAAAACAAATAAGACTTTTAGCTACTTTACTTTTATTAAAGACAGATTCTAACATTTACTTATATTATTCACATTTCCCATTAGTACTACAATTCACTTCCTTGATAGGTTTGTCTCCTGAACTCATTCATTTTCTCCCTTGAGCAGGGTGTTCTGTATTATTCCATTTGTTGTATTCCATTGCAATATTGTTAATATTTTCCCCACATCGATTCTCAGACAAAATGTTCTGTCCGCAATATTCTGTCCTTCCTTTGTGCATTGTATGATTATATACTATTAATTATTGCCTCTTTTATCTAATCTGTTCTTCTTAAATAAGGTATATCTTTTTGTTGCTATATTACAGCCAGGAGGCACAACCCACCAAGTGTCAGTAGCCCCTACAAGGTCAAGTTTTCCTCTTTGCATTAAGACATGTGTTTCACTTTCTTTATTGCCCATACCTGTGTATTTATGTAGAGACATATGAGGCCATGAGTTTTGTTACTGCTCTTGTTGGTATTGTCTCCTATAAATTACTTTGCTTCTCTACTTACATTCTTTTTCCTGTGCTTTATCTGCCACTTTTTCTGAGAACTAATGGTGCATGTATGTGGTCAGGTTTCTCCTCCCCACCTCCATTTTTTTTAAAGCCCTTTTGATAAATTCTTCAAGTCACCAGGCCCTTCAAGTAGACCATTTGTCAGGGATGTTGTAGAGAGGGAATTTCTGCTCAGGCATGGATTGGGCTAGACATTTTCTCAAATCCCTTCCCACTCTGAAATTCTAGAATACTGTAAACTAAAAGTAGATTAGAAGGAGAAGACTACATTTTGCTTTTCTTCTCTTTTAGCTCTCTGAGGAAATATGCAAATTCATTGTGTTATTTTTAATGCAATTAAAAAAAAAGAAATCCAGCATATAGCACGTTGAAAACAAAAGTAACACCATAGTTGCACCCACTGAGAGCTATTATGATAACACATCAGTTAGGGAGTGTATGATGTGTTTACAGCTCATCTCAGAAGTGGTACTAAGTCACAGAACACTGACACCAGCAATATTTCTGTAGCTAGTGCGTGGTTCTCATTTTCTTCCAGGTGAAAAAAAAATATATGCATGTGTGTATATATATGTGTTTGTATATGTGTGTTGTGTGACATATATATGTCACTAACATTATTTTCAACCACTGTGGTGTTTATTTTGCTGTAAGATCTTGTTTGTAGATAGATTTCTATTCAGAAAGATAAACAGCTAGCTTTTGAATGAAAACTTTTGGAAGACAGTTGCATTTCCATGTTGTCCTTCATTGAATTCAGTGTTTCTCCCTTCCCCACCTTCCTCACATGCAATTCTACCCATCATGAAACAGTCTTTCTTTATTTGGAACTTGGTGCTATGTCATTCATTTTGGAAATTAAACAACTAAACATAATTTTGTAATATCTTCTGGTTATCATCCTGAAGACTGAAGTCCTAGATGATTTGGCTCTAAATTATTTACAGCCTGAACTCAGGTACCTTCTCTTTGAGAACTCAGTATTTCAACCAACTTGGTTTATTTTCTGTCCCCAATTCTCCACTCCCCCCTCTTGTCTTCACCTCTTTACTCATAGCATCTTCTATTTCCTGAAATGGACATCTTTCTCCTTGACCTGTTCCCCAGTTTTCAAAATCCCTCCCATCCTTCAAAGTGCAAATTAGGTTTTTAGCTGCTCCACAATGCAAAAGGACTTCCCCCTTCATTTACCTGGACCCCTCCTTTATATTTATTGTTAAGAGCTGGAAGGGGCTTTAGGGGTCAGCCAGTCCAACCTTCTAATTTCACAGATGAGAAAGATCAAGAGACTCAACCAAGGTCATGCAAGTGGCAAGTGGAATTTGAACCCCGGTTTTCTTATCCCAAATCCTATTCCTACTACTAAAGTCTTCCATGACTATGTGCATCTCTTTTCCCATAGAATTATAAGCTCCCAGAGAACACAGGTTGTATCATATCTATCTTTCTATCCCTTGTGCTTTCCTAATGCAGTGCCTTACATACATTAGGTGCTTAATAAATATTTCTTAAGTTGAATTGATTTGTTATCTTCACCCATCCTGAATTATCCTAAGTTAATATATGTAAATTGCTTTGCAAACCTTAATGTGCTAAAATAAGAACTTAAGGACTAGAACAAGGACTACATTTCTCTGTTTCTCTTACATCACAATGCTCAGAACAGGACCTAATTTAAAGTTTTTATTATTATAAAACTTTGAACATCATATTGCTTGCTTATAATGACGAGTACAACAGATATAACAGGGAGGCAAGGAGAAGAATATAACTCATCAGAAAGATGTGGGCAGTGTTCGTGGTTTTACTAACTTGCCTTATGACCTTCAGCAAGTTACTTCACCTCTCTAAGACTCAGTTTCCTCAGTTATAATATGAAAGTATTGGGCCAGATAATAGCTAATATTTACCTAATGCTTCCTATGAGCTATGCACTGTACCAAGCACTTTACCATTATTAGGTCATTTTATCCTCACAACAACCCTGGAAGGTAAGTGCTATCATCATCCCCATTTTACACATGAGGGAACTGAGGCAGACGAGGTGAAGTGACATACAGAGGGTCACACCACTAGTAAATATCTAAATTTAGGTATTCCTGGCTCCAAGCCCTGTGCTTTATCTACTGACTGCCACCTAGCCAACTAGATAACCTTTAAGGACTCTACTACTAAGAAAAAGAAAATTATTCTGTCTCATTTTATTTCACTTGCTTTTTCAACAGAACTTTGACATTTGCTGTAAAAGCAGGGGGCAGAAGGATCTAAAGGGGTAGTGTGGCTTCTCAGGAAGTTTTCAAATCAAAAAATTCTTTGCTATGTTTTGCCCCATGTTGTCATTTTCATCCAACCTAAAAGAAGATGAAATGTTAGGTTGCAACATTTTGGACACACACACACACACACACATGAATATACATATAGGTATATACACACACAATCAGGTCTTCTCTATATATCCAAACATATACACAAACATACATATGCATATGCATATATAATTATATACATATATACAATATATGATCATATACATATACATATACATACATACATACATGCACACACAGCTAGGTGGATGGAGTACTGAGCCTGTCAGGAAGACTTGAGTTCATATCTGGCCTCAGACACTAGCCAGGTGAACCTAGGCAAGTCACTTAATTCCATTTACCTCAGTTTTCTGACATGTAAAATGAGCTGGGGAAGGAAATAGTGAACTACTCCAGTATCTTTGCCAAGAAAATCCCCAATGGGGTCATGGAGAGTTAGGCACAATTGAAACAACTGAACAACAACATGGGTGTGCGTGTGTGCATGTGTGTATGTACACACATATACATATATATGTATGTATACACACATTATGTATATACACATTATGTACTGAATTTTTCCTGTGTGTACCAATAATATTGGAATAAGTAATGTGGGAAATTTTAAGATGTTTAAGACATAATCCCTCATGAAAGGGCTTATAATTTAGTTGGGAAAACAAAGCTTATTTACATTTTTTTCATCAAGACCTGTGATTTCATCTAGTAAGAAAATCCCCCCTACTATTTTGCACCTTTGTGAGTTGTCTAAGGCCCTAAGAGGTTAAATGATTTCCCCAGGGTGACAAAGCCAGTATTTGTCAAAGGCAAGAATTAAACACATATCTTACCAAATCCAAGGGTGGTTTTCTAGTGACTACATCACCCTGTCTCTCACATCTGTATCATGAAACAGTTAAATGACAAGTTGAGCTAGTTTTTCAGTGCCACAATATGTAGTACCCTCAGGAAGTTTTGTATAAGGTAGAAGAGGTCACCTTCCTTCATGGTTCATTTGCATTGTCAAAGTATTTGTTGCGCTTTTGCCTGCAGTCATCCAGTGCTTAAACATTTTTTTTCTCTGTGATAGGAACCAGTGGTTGGGACAAACTGTGGAAAAAGTATGGAACCCGATTACCCCAAAATGATCTCTGTCTCTATGTGTCATCCTCTGACATCACTCGAACCCTGGAAACTTTGGAAATTAAATATGAATGCTTTGACCTTCTGTCTACAATGGATATATCAGATTGCTTCATTGAAGGCAATGAAAATGGAGAGTTGCTTCTGGACTTTTTAACAGAAACCTGTCACTTCAGCAAAACTGCTCCACCTGATCTCAAAGCTGAGATTATTGAAGACCTTCAAAGGCCAGGATTCAGTGTAAAAGAGAAGGGAAAGATTCTTTTTCACAATCACTTGAGTTTCATCGTGGCTGAGGCATAGCTCAGGTGTTCATCTATCATTCAACAAGCATTTATTAAGCACCCACTATGTGCAGGGTACTGTACCCAGTAGGGAGGTGAGGGGGAATTCAAAAGCAGAAAAAGAATGTTCTTGACCTGAAGGAGTGTATATTCTATAGGAGAAGATAACATGTGTATATAAGCATATGCAAAATAGGACAATTCATTTGAAAGTTACAAGGTACAGAATAGCAGTAATTTACTCTTGCATTATAATACAACATATAATATTCTTAATATATCACAATCTCATATAAGTTGAGGCTGATCATAATCCAGACCTGAGACAACCTGGAAGGTCCATTACCTTCCGTCATCTAGATAGATAGATAGATAGATAGATATAGATATAAATGGTATTTTAAAATGTTATCTGATACAGCTGAAGCTCATCAACCTCTCTCCCATATAAAGGTCATTTCTAAAGTTTACATGAGAGATCCAGCTAAACCCAGTTGCCTAAACTACAGTGCATGCTATATAATGATGCCCTAGGGCTAATTAGTGTAGGCTTAGGAGAGCCAGTTAAATTTTTGTTTAAATTTTAAATTGTTAAAATTTCAATATAACAATTTATACCTTGGATATCAGAAAATACTGTAAATCAGTCCTTGATTTATTTTTGATGATTATTTAGAAAGTGATGAAGAAAATTTTAACAATGCAGATTAAATTTCAAAGTGCTTTATACATTCCCCCTGCCCTTTCTCTTTAGAGCTTGTTGTCAGGAGCACATCTTGGCCACACTTACCTGAAAGAGCTAATGAACTATTCTACTCCCTTGTTTATTCTAGTGATGAACACCTTTTGCTTTATCTTCTCTAAATGCCTTCTCAAATACTTCTTTAAATAGATTATTTTACACAGGTAGTAGTAGTTTGTTCAATCAGATAACTGAATGTCAACCTTAAACCATTAATCTTGGAGATTAAAAAAGACAACAAAAACATTTAACTTATGGATATGATGATTTTAATAATTTTACCTTGAATGACATTATCATTATGATGTGATATAAATAAAGATATTATGGAGGCAAGGTAGTATTTTATTCTAAAAGCAAAAAATGAAGTATGGTGTATTTCTGAAATTTCTTTTTACCATCTCCTAGCAAATATCAGACAATAAGGCAGAGAGGCATAGTGAAGAGGGCCAGCCCTAGATTCAGAGAGACCTGCCTCAGACACATACTGACTTGGTTGCCCAGTGCAAAAATTATCTTAATCTCTCACTTCCCCAGCCCAAATGACTCCTCTCCTCTTTTTCCCTCTTCTCCCCTCCTACTTTCCTCTCTCCTTTCCCATCCTATTTTCTACCATCCTCTTTTCCCCCTCCTGTCCTATCCCCTCCCCTCATGTCCTTTCCTCTCCTCTCCTCTCCTGTCAGTCTCTATTTCTGTCTCTCTCTGTCTCAGCATTAGTGGAAGGAATTTTGGTACTTATAAAGGAAGATATAATTGGAAAAATAGGAATTAGAAGGAGACTAGATTCATCTTCACAACCTATAGCAATTAGTATTTCCCTTCAATTAGGAAACAATAGAGTTGTATGGAATTTATAGGCTATTGAAGTGAATTAGATCTAGTCTAACCTCCTGCCTGCCCCCATCCAATGTAGGAACACCTTCTACAGTACACTTGATGAATGATCCTCTAGGCTGTACTTCAAGAGTTCTTAACCTGTGGTCCAGAGACTTATTTTTTAAAAAATATTTCTTTTGTAACACAACATGTTTTATTTTATTCATTTAAAATCATCATTCTGGGGTTCTTTGACTTCATCAGACTGCCAGAGAATACCATGACACAAACAAGATTAAGAACCCCTATTCTACTTGGACACTTCCACTGATAGAGAGCTCACTTCTTTTAGAAGCAGCCTATTTCATTTTCAAACCTCAATAGTTATCAGAAATTTCTTTCTAATATTGAGCTGAAATTTGCATTTCTATACTGTCTGGGTAGAGTTTAACCAGCTAAGAAGTTGTGATATTATCTTACATTTCTCAATCTTATCTTCAAGGATAGCATGACAATCTTTATCAAATGTCTTGCCAAAAGCCAGATATACCATGGTTTCAGTATGCCCCTGAACTATAAGTCAAGCAACTCTATCAAAAAAGGAAATTGATTTACTTTAGCATGACTTGCTCTTATCGAATCTATATTGACATCCATTGATTCTTCTAAGTGCCCAAGATGATCTATGTAACAGCCCATTCTACCATTTTCCCTCTAGAAATCCACATCAAACTTCATACTGTATAGTTTCCAAAATTCACCTTCACCCACTTTTTGAAAATTGTTACATTTGCTAAATCACCGGTTTTCTGCCACACTTTTGAACTTGTATAATTTCTCAAAGATTACTGGCAATAGTTCTTCAATCACATCAAGCTCTGTCAGTATCCTAGGGTGCAATTTGTCTGGATCTACAGACTTATTCTAATTCAAAATAGCAACATATTCTCTCATTTTCTCTCCTGACTTTGGCTGCATTTTTCTCTTAACTATGTTTGTTAAACCCTTCCCTGTTTGAAGAGCATTCTCCCTGGTGATTAAGAGAAAAACAAAATGAGGATTGAGTAAACATGTCTTTTCTCTGTCATATGTTATTTGCTATGGAAAAAAGAATTGCTTGGGTCAGAAAATACATTATGTTCTGGATAGCAGGTACATTTCTTTAACCAAAACAATCAAAAAATAAGAAAACATGAGAAACTATAGTGTACATAATTTATATATAATGATAATGCACACATGATCTGTTTAAATCAGTGTGGGGAACTCCAAGGATAGAGACCATCTAATTTGGCAGAGAAGTCCTGTGTTTTTGCCCAAGTTATATAGAGCTTAAGTCACTCAAAATCGTATAATTCAATGCGATTAAAGCTAACAGTTTTTTTAAATCACCAACAAAACCCAGTAGGAAGAGGTAGAAAAAGAAAATACATTTAAAAATAATAAACAGGAACTATATATTCAAATACTATGTAAACACAAAACACTTTAAAAAATAAAGACAATAAATGGAGAGATAAATTGCTCATGATTGGTCTAGACAGTATACTAAAGATGTCAATATTACCTAAATTAATCAATTTACTTAGTGTCATTCCAATCACACTACCAAGGGATTACTTTGTAAAACAAAACAAAATAATAATAAAATTCATCTAGAAGAAAAAAAGGTCAAGAATCTCACGTGAAAAAAAATAAGTGGAGGAAAATGGTCTTAGCAGTACCAAATCTTGGACTACATTAGAAATCAATAATGATCAAAATTATTTAATACTCATTGAAAAATAGAAAAGTTCATCAGTGAGATAGATTAGGTATTCAAAATCCAAAAAAAAATAATATTATGGTGTTTTATAAAATGAAAAACATCATAAACACTCACTATTCAAAACAAACAAACGTTCTGGGAAAGCTAGAAAGTTATCTGGCAAAAATTAACTTCCAAACTACATCTCCCACAACCTTCAAGTGGATATGTGGCCTATATATAAAAGCTTATGTCATAGACAAACTGCAGGGTGGGGAGCGGAGAGAAAAATATTATTTACAACTCTAAGTGAGAGGGGAGTTTTTAAAAAATAGAGATGATGACATAAGATTAAATGGATAATTTTGATTATATGCAATTTTTTAAAAATCCGTGGAATTAGAATTTAAAGTTATATGATTTAAATAATAGATAAATGATTCAAAAATTGAAGAACAAAGACCTTTTCCCCATAAATCAAAGTACTGGAACAGGCCATTCTCAAGGAAGACTTCCAAAATATCAAGAACCATGTGAAAAAATGCTCCAAATGACTAAAATTTTGAGAAATATAAATAACTGATATTTCACCTCATGCCCTTAATGTTAGGGAAAAAAAAGGAAAATGGAAAATTTTGGAAGGGCTGTGGGAAGGTAGACACACTAACGTACTGTGGATTAAGTTATGAATTGGTCAGCTCAATCCAGAAATAAGTTTGAAACTACCCCAAAAGTCATCAAACTGTTCATACTAGGCATTTATACCAAAGTTAAAGATAAAGGAAAAGAACCCATATGTACAACAAAATATATTTTTGCTTATTTATTTTTTGGTGAGGCAATTGGGGTTAAGTGACTTGCCCAGAGTCACACAGCTAGTGAGTGTTATATGTCTGAGGCTGGATTTGAACTGCCCCTACAAAAATATTTATAGCAGCACTTTTTGTTGTATAACAAAGAACTTGAAATGAAGTAGTAGGTAGATACCCATCATTTGGGGAGTGGTGGATTAATATAGCAGAATATTATTGTGTGTGTTTTTAAAAGTCAGAGTGCATTCAGAGAAACCTGAGAAGACTTGAAGAGATTAATGCAGAGTGAAGTGAGCAAAAATAAAAAGAAAAAAAAAAAAAATAAACAATACCTACAGCATTATAAAGGGAGAATTACTTTGAAAGCTTAAGAAATCTGGTCAATACAATGATTAATCAGGAGTTCAGAGAATTAATGATGGTGAAGTATGTTTTGTAATACTTAGCAGAGAGGATTGTAAATGCAGAATTAGACGTACATTATCAGACATGATGACGTGAATTATTTTTTGCTTGACTATGCTTATTTCTTACGAGGAATGACTTTTTTTTAGAGAAATTTGTAGGGCATAGGGCAAAGTGATAGGTAAGAGAGAAAGAAAGAGAGAGAGAAAAATTAAGAAAGGAAGGAAGGAAGGAAGGAAGGAAGGAAGGAAGGAAGGAAGGAAGGAAGCTTGGAAAGAGGGAAAGTAAAAAATGAAGATTAATGAAACATAAAAATACACAAACAAATAAAAGAAAGCTAAGAAGAACTCACAGACAAGTAGGATAGTGGTATTAAATTGAATATGAATTTCAGTAAAAGAACAACCACCACCACCTTATATATGTAATAGAGATTTAAGATTTCCTATTTAATCCTCTTTTTCTGTCCTTTTTATGTGAAAATGTACCTCTTCATTCAAATGTATCAAGTCTGTAATAAGGAAAAAAATAGCAAAGAAACACCAAGAATTTCTTAAGGATCTGCTATCTACCAAACTCAATCCAAACACAAAAATGAAAACATCCCTGACCTTTTAATTGTTTAGTGTAATTTATCTCATTTGATTTTCCCAATAACTTTGCAAGTTAGAAAAGTGAACTATCATAATTCCCATCTTCCCATCGTATTATTCCCAAGGAAGTTCAGACAAAGAAAGTTTCATTGATTTTCCCAGTTACAGTCAGTTTGTAATAGGGCTTAGACCAGATGTACCATACATCACAAGATCTCTCAGCCAAAGAATCATAGAATTTTAAAGTTTAAAGGGACATTTCATCTAATTCAACTTCATTGGTCAAGATTAGGAAATTTGGATCTTGAGAGATTTTGACATTCCCAGTCTTTGAACATGCCAAGTTACTATGACAGAGCATGTTGAATAAAGCAGGTAATAGTAATAAGAGGAGGTTTTCTCCTATACCTGGAATTGATTCCCTTCTCACCTCCATGGATCTATAATTTTCTTCAAAACTCAGCTCAAGTGAAATCTTCTACATGAGGCTTTTCCTCAATTCTGCTCCCTTCTAGCCACTACTCTTTTGTTCACCCAAAATGCACATAATTTGTATATATTTAACATATAAAGGTGTTTTCACCATGGATAGAATGAAGCTAAATTAGTCATTTCATCCACTGAGCCAATCACATAGCCCATTAGGCAAGATCATTTTAATCACTGTATTCAATATGATACTTTTTTTGGCCTTTGATATAATAAAAATTCCTCCCCATCTCTAAAAGGCTGAAAACCACCAAAGTCATGAAAACATCCATTAAAACAATGAAGACAGTTCTCAAGTGAAAGATCATTGTCTTTGTATGATTCCTCAGTAATTTCCTTTCATTTAAATTTTTCTCTCTAATCTCCTAGATATAGCTGTTCTTGTGTGGGTAAGGTTTGATATGATCACTGAAAAAAATTCTGGGAGAACTAGATCAGGATGAGGATTGTGAAAGAGGGCATTTTGAGGAGTCC